CAGGCTCGGTGGCTCAGCCTGTAATCCCGCACTTTGGGAGGCTGAGGTGAGTGGACTGCCTGAGCCCGCGGGTTCGAGACCTGCCTAGGCCACTTGGCAAGACCTCATCTCTACAATAAATCAAAAAAAAAATCAGCCGGGCATGGTAGCGCACATCTGTAGTTCCAGCTACTTGGAAAGCTGAGGCAGAAGGATTGCTGGAGCCCAGAAGGTCGAGGCTGTGGTGGCCAGGAGTGACCACTGCACTCCAGTCTGGGTGACAGAGTGAGACTCCAACTTAAAAAAAAAGAAAAGAGAGATGCTAAAAAATTCATCTGAAACATGATTTCTTATGTCCTTACTATTAGAAATCAGCGTTTCTAATATAGTCTATCTCCTTTTTTCCCACAAATATTTTTTTCAACACTTACTTTTTACTTGCTTTTTGATGCTTTTTGTACCATCCAACCAGTGCTGAAAATGAAAACAAAAAACTCAGTAGTTAAGCAGATAACAAAACTTTAAAATTTTAATTACTGAAAGATACTTTTAATCATGCCTTTGTTGAAGTCACAAGGAAATATTTCATAAGAGAAAAAAAAAAAACAAAGTGACTGGGAAGGTGGGGTAGTTATCTGCCCAGTATCCACAGCAAGGTTTATAACACATGAACAAAAGACCCAAAACCTGATATGTGACTTCCTAAAACCTTTGCTCTGCTCCCTCAGTAACAAGTTGATGTTCTAAATTTTGTCCTCAGTATCTCTCATTGTTCCCAAATAAATGACTCTTGCAGAACTGTTAAAATGAGAGAAAAAAATATCCTCATGTTCCAGTGTCTGGCTTATTCTTTAAAAAATGTAAAACTTATTAGTAGATCTTCACCAAAAATTAGGTGCAATAACAATGTCACCTAGATTTTACAAAACAGAAGCTACTCAGAGGTGATAATCTGGGAGAGGTTGCAAGGTAAAATAAGACTTTTCTCATAATCAAGGCCCTATCTATCAAATAATATAGTCTTTGCTCCTTTGCTTTACAAATAAAAAAATGTTAACATTGTGACCCTCAGGCTTCTAGTTTGAAGAGTTATAGCCTTTCGATTTATGTAACCTCTTCTCTCTGAAATGTCTATGATACAAACAGACCTACACCAATTACAGATACTTTCACAGAAAAACCCATTCCCAGCTCACTTCTCGTTATTAATCCCTTTACACCACGAAGTCCTAACGGTGACAGGATGCATTCATGCAACTAAGATATACTAATTGTGTTCTCTCCAGTATGCTTTTAATTCCAAAAACCTAAACAAAAAAGTGCTCATGTGCTAACTAGCTCACAGAGCCAAGGAATCCAGTTTCAGAAACCCAGATAGGCAGAGTGGGTAAACAAGGCTGCATTGTTAACAGACCTGTAACTGCTTTTCTTGCCAATTATTTGCCTAGTCTCTTCTCCCCATTCCCTCCCGTGATCCAAAAGTGCAATTCAGAGATCAGTGTGCCAGCAAAGTATCTTTCCATGCTGAAATAAGATGCTCCCTAAACATTTTAAAAGACAAATACTTGAAATATTTTCTGCAGAGTCGAAGTGTGTAAGCTATTTTACCATGTCTCATCTTTTAACACGTTTTGTTGGATAACTACTTTTCAGCATATTTCAGTCTAGCAAATGTTCTTAATATCCTTCCATTAACAGAACAGTAGACCTGCCAGCAGGGAGAACATAATTCAATCTATTAGTAGAAAAGACTTCAACCTAGGACAGCCAATCGTCCATCTATCAATGCCCATCCCAGAAACACAGTATCTAAAAATCCCAGGCTTAACTGACACAAATACCTACTACAGCCTGATGCCAACTATACACTAGTTTTCATGTACCAGATTTTCTCCCCAAGAACCATGGTCCTGGGAGCTGCCCTATCTTCCATGGTTGGTTATCAGGGTGTTGTCTTACGCAGCCATGGTTAGGGAGATTCTCATACACCATAATGAGTGCAAATGAGCAAGACTGCTGGTGATTTTTTTTCACCTTTGTGTTCTCTTATTAATTTACTTACCCCACAATGAACACATATTACTTAAAACAACAATCACAGATCCCTTTATTTTAATATTTTATATAGGTAATATATTTATATGGTTTTTAAGTTTTTGGTAATATTAAAAAATATATGGTCAGTAGTCCTCTCCAACCTCCGTCCCCCATTATGTATCCCCAGACAAAATCGCAACCCTCCTCCCTAAGATGTTACTGGTTCTTGATTCCTTCCAGAGAGTCTTCAAACAGAAAAGAAAAAAAATTAAGTGTGTTTGTGCACATGTGTTGGCAGAGTGAAGAACAACAGTGGACTAAAAATCAACAGACTAAGTATAAATTTTGAGAGGATACATTTTGAGGAATAGAAGAAGGAAACATTTACATACATAGACCATTTCCTACTTTAAGAACAATGTAAAGTCTTTCTTAGATAGTTATAACTTAAATTTCTCCCTGTTTAGAACTACTTAGGATTAGTCTCATAAATACAATTTTCTACTCTATGTTTTGCCCCATTTTCCTACTGAGAAGTACAATAAACATAAAATAAAGGGCACAGTAGCTTCGGCCTGTAATCCCAACTACTAAAGAGTCTGAGGCAGAACTGCTTGAGGCCAGGAGTTCAAAACCAGACTGGACAACACAGTAAGACTTGTTTCTAAAAAAATGTTTTTAATTAGCCGGGCGCTGTGGCACACAACTGTACTTCCGGCTTCACAGGAGGCTGAGGCAGGAAAATAGCTTGAGCCCATTAGTTTGAGGCTGCAGTGAGCTATGATGGCGCCACTGGGCAACAAAGCAAGACTCAATGTCTAAAATATAACGAAACATAAAATTATCCAGTGAGAAAAAGGATCAGAGCTGTCTTCTAAGCAGGTATTTTAGTCTCTCTTCTACTTGTATGTAATAGTTTCTAATAGCTATACTCCCTTAAAACAACCCAAAACTCAGATAAAGCAAACACATTTTCAAGTGAGATTTAGGTGCCAGAGGAGTTCTGGGTGACATTCTTCTGAGGAAGGTCTGAGTTCATGTTTGCATATTCTCAAGTCTGTTTTCTTTCATCTCCTCCACATTCCAAGACCAGAGACTGGAAAATTCAGAGCTCAGAGACAGGCACTGGTAGTATTTTCCTTGAATCAATTAGGAGTTTAAATTACATTACAAGATAAAGGTGCAGAAGCATGCAGATATAGGTTCTTGGGTGCTAAGTTTAAAACAAGATTATCTTTCCTCACTGTACCTTAAAAAGGAAACAAACTCCCTGCTAAGTTCCTGCTTTTAAATTTTAGTTGATAAACTGCAACGGATGTAGAAAGCCACATTCTTCCCAACCTACTGAAATGAGCATGGAAGAAGTTATTTACTTCTGTCTTAAAATATAAATAATATATAATCACAAACACAACAGCCATAACTAAACCAAAGAATCACCTACACAGCACACACACCCTCACCCCAGGCCCTGCAGTCAAACAGTCTATAAACAGTTCTTCGAATGAATGATCCCTGCCTTCTAAACCACTTACAAGGCTTTGACATGTCACTGGGTTACGTAGGTTATATATTCACGGTCCAGAAATTAAGTATATAATCTATTTTGGAAATACACTTTTAAAAGGAGACAGCTTGCTATCAAAATTGCATAGAATTTCACTGGGTTTTGGAGGTCATTTTTACACTTAATTCACTTTTTAAAAACTAATGTTCATATATGAATCTTTTACAATACAGTCTGAACTTCACAATCTGCCCACTTCAAAATGCCCTCTATCTCAAAACAGCTAACCACATTTTTAGAACCAGTAAAAGTTCACAGCCTAGCATAATCTCATTCTCCAGACTTCTCACTGTTATTTTTAAACAGAATCTTCTGTGGCATTCACTCGATATTTTGTGGTACTTGAGGTGAGTACCTGTTGGCTTCTAGTGTCAGTCAACAATCACCAATCTACGACATCCAAAACCACCACAAAGCACAAACGTCTACAGTGGAAACAGCTTTATTCTTAAGAACCAAAATACAGCCGGGCTCGGTGGCTCAGCCTGTAATCCTGCGTCTTTGGGAGGCTGAGGTGAGTGGATTGCCTGAGCCCGCAGGTTCGAGACCCGCCTGGGCAGCGAAACCTCATCTCTACAATAAATCAAAAATCAGCCGAGCGTGGTAGCGCATGCCTGTAATTCTGGCTACTTGGAAGGCTGAGGTGGAAGGATCGCCGGAGCCCAGCAGGTCGAGGCTGCGGTGGCCGGGAGCAGCCACTGCACTCCAGTCTGGGCGACAGAGTGAGACTCCGACTCAAAAAAAAAAAGAATCAAAATACATAAACTTAAATTCATTCTCTAGAAATTCAAAGACCTCATTTAAACTTTAGAGTCTTTATAGAAGAGTCCTCTGAGGATGAAATTAGAAAAGTACTGCCTCCCTCCCACAATTATTAAGCAACAGAAATAAAATTAATTTATCTGCATTTCTTTAAATAAATTATAGAAAATTTATTCCCCAAACAGCACTTTGTAATAAATATTAGTTGAAACAAAACAACACTACTAGATAGTAGAAAGCATACTGTTATTCTCATATGCTGATAAAAGAGTTTAATTTGGCAACATCAGACCAACCTAGACAACATAACAAGATCATGTCACTACAAAAAAATTAAAAAATCATCAAATGGCTTTTAAAATGTATCTCTTTGACCAGACTTTTAAAAATCAGAATACTGACAAAGATTTACAAAGATGATCATCTTCAGAATATTATTAGCTATAAATTATAAATAATCATTACCAGGCAGCAGGAAGATAGGAGTATTCCTGAAATTCATCAAGGTCATCCTTCTCCGGACTTACTCCCTCAACTTTTTAGTTCTTCCTTGTTTAGCAATTGTGTGTCACAATATATACATTTAACTAATGTTATTTATTTATGTTTTTCACTCCCCATCACCCTACTGAATCCTATTGTTTGTGTTAAGCTCTCAGTTGAATCCCAGTATACAATTCAATCATCTGCCAACAGTTATAACTTTACCTCTTCCTTTACACTTTTGTACCTTTAAACCTTTCTCTTCCATAACTGAATTTGTTGGTACTTCTATGATAAAATCAAGTAGCAGTGGTAATAATGGGCATTCTTGTTATCTCCCTGTCCTTGTTAGAAATACTTATATTGTTTCTCTGCTGATCTAGGGATTTAAAAATAAATAAAACTCAGACCAGGCGTGTTGGCTCATGCCACTAATTCCAGCACTTTGGGAGGCCAAGGAGGATTGCCTGAGCCCAAGAGTTTGAGACCAGTCGACAATATAACAAGACCTTGTCACTACAAAAAAAAAAATCTAAAAATTAGCTAGGCATGGTGGTGCATGCCTCTAGTCCCAGCTACTCAGGAAGCTGAGGCGGAAGGATCACCTGAGCCCAGAAGGTCAAGG